AATTGCGTTGAATTACGCAAAACTAGCGGACACGCAATCATACGAACTTATTATAATTTGTCAGTTTCGGTTGACAATAAGAATTATACGCTTTCTTTGTTAAATTACTGGTGATAATTATAATTGTTTAGTTTGTATTTATTTATTTATTTGTTTGAATAAAATGTAACGAAAGACGACGAGAATTAAGCCGTATTATACGTTTGTACATACATACATCTATCTAAGCCGCTGCCATCTCTAGATCGCTCGAGCACTAGAGGTGCAGTCGGTAATTTACCGCCTATGGTAAACGGCTTGAAAATGTGGTGTCCATCCATTATCATTCACCCTGTATAGCTAATCAATAGTCTTCAAATTTTTGTCGTACGACAAATAAAATTCCAGTCTTAGGGCTCCTGCACACTGGACGCGGAAATACTTGCCGCATGGCAAAATGCGACGCGGTAGCCAATAAACTTACAGCTCCTAAAGAAAGATGACACGTCCATTGGCTTCCATATCATATTTTGTCGCGCGGCAAGCATTTTCGCGTAAAGTGTGCAGGAGCACTTAAGTCCATTTACAATGAAAGTAGTAAGTTGTAAGCCGTAAGAAATTTACCAATCAGAGTCAGTTATTCTTTCCATATTCGACTGTGATTGGTCAATTTCTTACGTCTTACAACTTAATACTCGTATTGTAAATGGACCTTAAGGCTGGAATTTCATTTGTTGTACGCATGAAGTAAGAATAAGGAGACGTAACTGTAGATAGGCTAGAAAAAAAAGTTGGTCACAGAAAATATCCATGTACTGCCAGATCCGCTGAATGGAATAACTTGCAACATTTCGTCGCCATATTGAAATTCATATACGTACATGTGTCACATCTAATTGTGTTAATGTATCAAGTATATAAATTTTAATATGGCGACGAAATGTTGCCGTTATTTCGTTCAACAAACCTGGCAGTATACGAAACATTTTCTATGACCAACTTTTTTTCTTTTAGCCTATTTATAGTTATGTCTCCTTATTCTTACTTCATGCGTACAACAGTTGAAATTCCAGTCTTAAGATCCATTTACAATAAAAGTATTAAGTCATAAGACGTAAGAAATTGACCAATCATAGTCGAATATGAGAAGAATAACCGACTGTGATTGATCAATTTTTTACGGCTTACAACTTACTACTCTCATTATAGATGGACCTTAAGTGCTCCTGCACACTGGACGCGGAAATGTTTGCCGCTTTGCCTTCATGACGAAAACTAGACAGCCTATAATAAGAGAAACTGCGTTCCGTTTCATGTATGATGTGCATGACTTATCCTTTATCTTTGTTTAACATTTGGTGAACAACAAAGGATATCATGATACATCACGCGCATCATGCGTGAAATGGAACGTTGTCAGAGTCGACAACTCGTCACGTGATCTCGCGTCGTGAGCCAATCAGCACGCGATTCGGATCCGAGATTACGTGACGAGTTGTCGACTCTCTAGCTGAAACAATACTCTATTCATATTTATCTATGCTATGGTCCTGCATAACATAAAGATAAAAGAGAAATTCAAATAAGTGTGGTTGATGTAGTAAAAAGTTTCCTTGGTCATTACAATAGAAAGGAAGACGTAAAGAAAGGAAGATAGTTAAATAAGCTTAACGTTTTATACAGTCATTGATTTGTGGCACGATAGTACACATTGTCTAAATTTCACTTTGCACTGGTAAGGAATGAAAATAAAGATACGTATACATGTA